ATGAGCTTGATGCTTGCAAACACAATGTCTCTGGCGCCCAAGATCGACGAAGTTCGTTCTACCATCTTGGACTACAAACCAAATTTAGGGTTCATTACCGAAACGTGGCTGAGGGACACCATCAGCGGAAACCACCTCCACATTCCCGGTTACTCGTTTATTTCTAGAAACCGCACCACGGACATTCACGGAGGGATTGGGCTCTATATAGTGGACTCGATCAGGTATAGATCTCTTAATTACTTACAAGACCCTGAGTACGAAGTTCTTTGGGCGTGGTTAAGACCAAAAAGACTACCGCGCGGGACACCCTGCGTCATCACGGCCACGATACACCATCCGTTCTTCAACGACAGCGCCAGAGACAATGCTTTGTCGGACTATCTATCAGCATCCTTGACTACTGTTGAGGGAGTATTCCCAGGTTGCGGGATTCTACTCTGCGGCGATTTCAATCGGCTAAAGTTGAATCGTTTAGCTGCACAATTCGGAATGCGGCAATTGGTCAACAAGGCCACTAGGGCTGATCAGATCCTGGACTTGGTCTTCACCGACCAACCAGATTTGTACGATAAAAATTCCGTTCAAATTTTACCTCCGTTTCGTTTATCGGATCACAATGTTGTCTTCGTGCACCCAACAACTCGCGCTCCAAGGGAAGGCCCAAGTAGAAGATCCTCTCCAAGTGGGACACTCGGGCCAGTCGCATGTCCGAGCTTGGGCGTTTCCTCGCGTCTATCGACTGGTCAGTGGTTAGCGAAGCATCTAACTGCGAGGCTAAATTGGCACTGTTTACGGATTTCATCAAAATTGGTCTCGACCACTTAATGCTGGTTATACATGTCAGACTTCACCTGAATGATCTCCCGTGGGTTACTGAGCGTTTCAAGAACCTCATTAAGCTCCGTCAACATGCCTTCCACAATGAAGACATGGATCAATACGGGTGATATCGAAATGACGTCAACCGCACGCGTAAGTCACTTCGCAGTAAATACTATGCAAGATAAGTGAATAATTTAAAGAACATCAAGCCCTCGCAGTGGTGGAGCGCAGTTAAACGAATCACCGGCATGAATCCTGCGTCATCTCCTGAAAGTCTCATTTTCAACCTTCAGCTCGGGGACAGTTTCGATCGCCTAAGTGACGTTGAACTAGCTAACGCCATCAACGCTGTGTTCTTAGAACCCATGAAGCATTACCAACCCCTATACGCTGTCCCTACTGTAGTGGAGGACTCCGATATGCCTTTAATTAGGTAAAATTGATGTCCTACACACACTAACCAATCTAAACCCGAGGAAGGCAGCTGGACCTGAGGACATCGGTAACTGGCTTTTGAGGGAATATGGAGTGATTCTCGCACAGCCTATTACATCTATACTGACCGCGAGCTTTAGAGAACAAAGGCTTCCCGCCTCTTGGAAGCTTGCGGACGTGGTACCTCTCCCTAATTAAAAACCCGTGGTAGATGCTACTAAGCACCTGCGTCCTATCTCCTTGACGCCCGCTATCTCTAAGGTTGCGGAAGATTTTGTGGTACTCAGATACGTCAGTTCAGCGGTGTTGCAGATCATAGATCCGAACCAATATGGCGGTATTCCAAGATCCTCCACCTTGTACGCTCTGATTTCCATGGTACATAACTGGTCACAAGCCACTGACTCCCCAAGCGCAGCTGTTAGAGTGGTATTTTTTGACTATCGTAAGGCTTTTGATCTTATTGATCACAATTTGCTGGCCAGAAAGATCGAAGCTTTGGACATGCCACGATGGGTTCGCGTCAGGGTGCTGGATTTTCTGTCAGACAGGAAACAACGTGTCAGGTTGTCATCAGACTGCAGGTCAGAGTGGGGCTCAGTCCCCGGCGGGGTACCGCAGGGAACCAAGCTTGGTCCCTGGTTGTTCTTATTAATGATCAACGATCTTGAGGTCGACGCGCTCACTTGGAAGTATGTAGACGACACGACTATCGCCCAAACGATACCGCGAGGTTTGACCAGTGATGTACAAAGCGCAGTTTCCGCTGTTGAGGCGTGGTCGATCGAAAATAGGATGGAACAGAACGCGGATAAATGCAAGGAGATGCGCATTGACTTTAAAAAGAACACACAATTTTCCACCAATTGTGATTAATGGCAAGGAACTATCAGTATCAAACAGTGTTAAAATCCTAGGAGTCACTATTAGCTCAGATTTAAAGTGGAACGAACATATCTAAGAGTGCATTTAGAAAGCGAACAAGTGCCTTGATTTTATTGTTCTTCTAAAGAGCGCCAACGTTCCACTGAGCGACATTATAAATTTTTATTGCACCGTAATAAGATCTGTTTTAGAGTACTGTGCGCCAGTTTTCCATCGCGCGCTCCCACAGTATCTTAGTGACGACATTGAACGAGTGCAAAAGAGGGCGCTCTCCATCATTTGTCCTTATGCGTCATATTTCGAATGTTTGGCCAGATTCGACCTAGTAACCTTGCACGCGAGACGCGTGGCTCTGTGAAGCAAGCTTTTCGAGTCTATTACGTCATGCCCGGATCACAAACTCGTGCCTGTCTTACCTCCTAAGAGAGAACACAGATATAATCTAAGACAGTCCAGGGCTTATGCCATGCCCCGTACACATACAAATCGTTTTAAGAACACTTTTATTCCAAGTAAGTGTACATAATTTTTTTTTTAAGACTAGTTTGTACATAGTCATATATAGAGATTTTTTCGCATTTATGGTTTTATGATAATTTCAATTTGTATTTGGAACTCATTTATTCCTAGTTCTATGTAATTGTACGCAATTCAGTCTACGGACTGCCATGCTCGATATTCTAATAAACTATCTATCTATCTATCTATCTATCTAAGCTAATGAGTTGGTATTTGGACAAAATTCAGGACAACAATATGTTGTAATGAGTTTATGCTCTTTGATTTATAATAACAAACAAGGAATCAATTCTGTTCATGATCTCGCGTTGATACTGAATATTGGTAATCAATTGAATTCACCTTGAAGTTTGTCTCAGTTAACCAGACAATCATTTTTAATGCAGACAGAATTGCCCACACTTTTAAATGMGTTCGAGACTGACTATGAACTTTAATACAGTGAGAGCTACACTGGTACTGTTCATCAAGAAGCTACAATAGAAGGATATCAGTACTTTACCTCCTTAGATAGAGCCTTTCAATCACTTATATCTGAAAACAATTTTGTCTTGGCAATAGGGTGTACTGCAGTTGCTATCTATTGTAAAGGTAACCCTGGCTTGAAGATATTCGATTCTCATGCAAGGGATATTTATGGTAGAAGACATCCTCATCTTTTGAAGCTTTCGAAACGGCCCCGATTATCCTGACCAATAAAAGGAGAATGTAATATTCTTGTACTGATCATCATCCGCTGGCCAATTTCCCAGTGTCTCTGAGAGGTCAATGATATCTGTTACAGGGGGTTGTGAGGCCTTGAGTCGATATTATGTTTCAGTGTTACGTGCGAAAGTACCAACAATCTTTCTGTAATTCGAAAAACACATTGCATTGCTACCTAGCTACTTAAGATGGATAGATCGTCTTGTGGAAGAGAAAATTTTTATTTCGAAATGGAATCAGCCCAAAAGGATACCAAAGCAGGAGCGTACGATGATGTTGTTTGCGCGATAACAACAACGCCAAAGAGCTTTGATAAAGTCCATTTGGGTGGACATGAGAGGCACACAGAAACTACAGAGAGTTCCATTCAAGCTCTAAATTATGCCCTGCATTCACAAGCTGCTGTGGTGCGTCGTCTTCTGTGCATTTCGGTCGCTGTTGTTACCATTGCTTTTTTGACAGCGGCTGCCACTTTGGCATTGGCTTTATTCTTGATTATGTATAGAACAAATGATGTGGCCGTGTCGTCTAACAAAGACGGACCTTTACAAGGTAAGCAGACTACCGGGAGAATTGCAAATTCAGCGTATTTTACTTCACTATAGCTTACTGCATGATAATTAAGTTGTTCGCATGGTGAGCAAGCCAATTTGTGCGAAAGAAGAGAATAATAGGGCTTCCTCCTCTTCACAATGGTTATCATTGCAGATTAAAAAAAAAAACCTCTATCCTTGCAAATATTGATCTAATGAAGACTGAATTGACTCTGAGAGAAAATGATGATTTAAACAATGGGGATTATGGAAGTTTTAATTTTTCAAAAGGTGTATAATTGATATTTAGTGGCAATTTATATTTAGTTGCAATGAATATTTAGTTCGGCCCAGGCATGTCATGCAGATTAAACGCGAGACCGGTAAACAAAGCTTCCTAAGCCAACCGAACAATTCAAAGGCAAACCCAGTAAAATACATTAAAATGATGATTATTAACTCTGTGGGAGTCATTTCATCAAATGTAATGAGGAAAAAAACAAACCACTAATCATCAACGAGTCGAACAATTACAAAGAAAACTATGGAATCCTGGAAAGAAATGACTGTTCAAACATATGCACGATCATAAGCTGTTTTCTTTAACTTTCCGGGAAATTAAGAAGCCGCGAGACTTAATAAGGGTAGGGTTACCCAAGGTAGAATTTTATTTCCCGACACGTGACACGCAATTTGCTGGACGCATGTTACACGTGAACTTGGTTACGCGGATTCCGCCTTACGAGTAACAGAAATCTCAGTGGTGAGTCGGCCAGTATCAGGTTAATGCCAATGTTGAAGTTTATGTGGCAAAATATAAGGAGAAAGATGGCAAATTTTGAACTCGGCAATAAATGAAAGGAAAAAGTCATTAGGTTCATCATGAACGTGCTATAACCTGCAGGACGCGTGTCACGCGGAGCTCAACGTATAGTCTCTGCGGCTCTGTGGTAGAGTTTCGGAGCACGGTATCCGAAGTTCTTTGTCCCACGCTCCAACGATCTTGACAAGACAAATGCATCAACAACTGAAACATTGTTATTCAGAGCGACATTGTTAGTACTCCGTGGATGTCATTTGCCATTCACTTATGCTATTCCTAATTTTGATTGTCAGCTATTTTGGATTCATCATTTCACTATTCAGTCAATGATAAACGCAACCTGCATTCGTTTTAGACTCGAAGCTATCACAATTGAAGTTTGAAGCTGAACTAAAGGCAATGAAGCAGAACATCTCCATGATTCAATCACGCGCTGCTGATAAAGTGGTGGGTAGCTATGACGACCATGCGCTTTATTAATGACTTTTACTTTTATTCAATGATATACTCTTGAGATACAAGCTTCAATTCGTTACTCGGCCAAAATGTCAGTTAAATCCAGTATCCTCCAGGCGAAGAATGTTTACCGATGTATGCGTTGTCTTACATGGAGAAAAGTACTTAGTTCATCCTTCCAGCTAAAAGGATAATCTTGATAATTAGGTGAAATTTAAAGTATTTGGCATCAAAAATATTGATCCAGGGAACATCAAAGCTGAAATACAAACACCACAGCACAACATTGTTTGCAAATTATTCATTCTGAGAGTCGCATTTTATTTGATCACGAGAACCTCTTTTATTTTAGTATGCCGAGGAACTCAAGAGGCTGAAATCAAAGGTAAGTATGGTTACATAAACCTTGAATTTGAGCTAAACTGCCTCAGTGTGATTGTTGCTTTTTTTTCTGCGAAGATTATCTTGTTCCCACTGTTTTGAGATACAAAACTTTGTCAGTGTCCTCGAACTTAAAATGCACTTTCCCAGCACACTTAAACTGTTTAATATTTAATATCGGTATTTCATGTCGTAAAAATCATCGCCAAACTTCGATCACTAATATAATCACCTTTTTCCATCTCTCATCATAATTTTCATCACTACGTCAGCTTTGAATAAGTATTGTGTAAATGTTAGAACAAAATTTCCCAGGTTTTAACGTGATGAACTCAAGTGGAAAGTCAGCAGAATACGAGAAAAGCTTATAAATCACGAGCTTCACCCAGAGTGATTAACAAGCTTTTTTAGACATGATTGTAACTAGCGTGAAGCAGAGAGAAAAATTTATTTATCATCTATTCGTCGTCAAGTCGTTGATCCTCAATAAGCCCGTCAAAAGGCACGACTTACCAGTCAAAGCGCCCGAAAGAAAATAAACGACCCACCACAAGAACTGAATGAATGAAATGATATCAGAAAACTGAAGAAACAAAGTGGTATGCAACATGAAGGTCATCATTTAGTGCTCAAGAGTACTTAAATATGAACAAGGAAACCAAAAATTTTTGTGGTCAGAGTAGTATTCTGCCTCTGCAATAATGGAGTAACACTTACAGAATGTTTGCAAACCTGAAGTACACTTATGTTTTTTTTTCCTCGTGACTTTTTTTCCTATTTTGATGGCTTTGAAAATTCTTACCTCAAGAAAATCTGGACTCTCTGAATAGTGATGGACTAAGAGGAGAGAAGTCGCAAGACAACATTCCCTAGCGTTACTGGGAAGTTTAACTGCCTCTTAGCTATTCAACTCGCAAATCGATATTCCTTTACCAAAATTTTTCGCATCCCGTCAGCTTCAACAAGAGTTTACTCGGTGGCCTTGCAAAAACTAACAGAACTAAGAAAGCTTGGCAAACAGTGACTTCATGGCCCGATAAAACACAGGTCTGAAGAGAATACTGACCAATCACACAAAGTGTATTGTGCACAGCTAAGTTCGGAAAAATTACGTAACCGGTCTTGAGTATTGTAGCCACAAATATCAAAAGCAAAAGGTTTTATGATACATGATTTCAAAATAATTTTGTATCATAATATCTATGCAACGGGTATTATAGAGAAACACTACATGAAAACTATGCTTTTACAAAATGCAATATATATATATGTATATATATATATATAGATATATAAATATTGTGGGAGGAAAAAAGGACGTAACTACATTTCCCGACAAGCCTGTTTCGTGAATCGCTTCACTCTTCAGGGGTTTAATGAAAGAATATTCATGTGACTATCGTTTATATACTAGGAAAATTTGCATAATGCGCGGTAAACTTAAAAACTTTAAAGTTCAATAGATATATATATATAT